ACCGAGTCCACGGTCTGATGCTGGGAATTATGATAGCTACTATGGCAGACGATTTTGGACAAGGTGCGTTCTGCTAAGTCGCCCTGACAACAAGAAAAAGTTACGACAACGAGGTCAACCCACTTGTAATGACATGGATATTAGAAGAGAGAAGAGTCGATGAGAGTTTGGCGTACTGCCTGCGTAAATTTGGAGATTCAGTGAGGACAGCTGAATGAAGAAGCTCGGACTGAGGATCGTCACTACGAAAATTATCAGGGACAAATTAAAGTTAGACGAGTCAAACCTATAATTATTTTTCGTATGTAAGTTGACTTTCTAGACTAATAGTAAATATGAGATGAGATGAAAGACTGGTAGTAGAATTTTCCCACAATGATATGAGTAGAGCTGACGTTTTCATTGAATTTCACATAGCCTTGCTTTCCAAAAAGTAGTTCTCATACAGAGTGAACTGCATTTTCGACCTCCCGCCCCCCAGCGGGAGTCGAACCGTGACAGTGCAGAATAAGAGCTTATCACTTTAACCAATCGGCGACATTCCCACGAGTGCCCTTGGGTTACAGGGCGGATGTGAATTTCAAGGAAGACCAGGCCTTTTCCCATATCAGCGATTCGACTCTAGCTGATAAGACCATGGCGAGGTCGAAACTGCAGTCCACTTTTGCCGGGTTGAGAACAACTTTTAGGAAAGCAAGGCTATGTGAAATTCAATGGAAGCGTCAGCTCTACTCATATCATTGTGGAAAAATTTTACTACCAGTCCTTCATCAGCTTAAACGAAATGAGGTCAATACATTCATAAACCTAGAATTAGCCTCAAAAGTTGCATGAATTTGTCTACCTGGAATCTTAGGATTAGATGGGACTTATAGCGTGAGAGACAAGATGAATGCGATCGTATATATTAATATGTCGGCAGCTTTGGCAATTGACCTTAGGCTTGTGTTTATGCGTTAATGGATTGCTTCCCTCTTTTGCGACTATTCTGCAATTTTAAATGGGGATTTACTCTTAATATAGGTGTCTCCGGAAACAAACAAGCCTGGCGGTCACTTTCTTGATCTTTAAACGCTTGTCTCGAACTACACGATTCATAGAGTGGGACTCATAAAGCATAACTTCCTCATCTTACAAATTCCCTATTCTATTCCTTACTTCACATTCCATAGCTTATTTTCATTATGACAGGATAAAACTATAGAAATAGACTACTTTGTTTCTTACTTTACAGTCGATCTTTAATTAAGAATATCTTCTTCGTTTGCGATTATCACTGCTCCTCTTCACGATTGACATATTAACCGCATGTTCCCGTCTCGATCTGATTTATTTCTTTGCAGCCAGATTCCATTTATTTATTCTTTATTTACTCACGACATTTCTGTGTATGGGATAAATGCGGTTCTTATCTGTTTAATTTTTATAACTGTTCTGTTATTTTTTACAGACCATCTTCCCTAAACAACTATAGACTTGCTTACACTAGAATACTCAAACTTATTAGAGTTAAAATATACAAAATATTTATAGTTTTTGGAGCAAATAATTGCCTTAACTTAATAATTTCTTTTTAATTAATCTGTAATTTACATGTATGCCTTTTATCTTTTTTATCACTATTCTCGACACCAGGTTATGCTGGAAGCACGTGCTGGAGCCCTCTGCTCCATTCAAGCTTTTCTTGAATATTGCTCTCCTGGGCTTGTCACCGAGGAAACAGTTCGTCGCCTTTTACCTCCAATTGAGTCGGCCCTCAATATGCTGGCTCATTTACCAGACATCTGTCGAATCTATGGAACCCATTTGAAAGCTGCATCCGTACTCATTAGGCTTAGATTGTATCGCTGTCTTCTATTGCTGCCTCGTTCCGCCTACTCTGGTATGCTCTTATATTTTTCGTATGATTTTACATATTCTCTGCGCTTTTTGCGTTATAGCTGCTTTATTGTGAAATTAGCTAACCTCCACAAAAGTATGCGAGATGGATTTCAATGTAAATTAATTTTCGAAATATGTATATTACCTTTATTCCTTAATGAGTGTCATAAGAAAAGACGAATGTTTTACTTGCGTTATTTTCGTTCTGTTTCTTTCGTTTTATTATTAATAACACAAATAGAGTTTTAAGCTAGTTTTTTATCTAGTTTACTTGATTTTTTTATTTTTTGTAAAACAAACACCACAGCTCTCTTTAACTATTCTGGACCCATCGGATCAAGAAGAAAAGGTAAAAAGCTTACATTAGAGGCTTTCTATAGTATTTCGCCTGATCCTTATTACCGCACCATTCGATTCATACAGCCTTGCACTCTGAGTATGCACTCGATGCTCAGACACTGTTTGTCCTATGACTCCATAAAAAAGGGAATAGAATATTTGATGTGTGCTTCGAGACTACTAGTAGCTCTTGGATAAGACCAAAGTCACCAAAGGTCATTTAAAGTGATTTAATAATGGATAGTAAGGAAATGCTTCACTATCACTCCTTAAATCATCTCAGGCGATCTAGGTTGACTTAATTCGTAGGTAAAATAATATTTCGAGGTAGTTAACACTATATCTCGGTTTTTAGACCAGATGCAAAGATTAATCAGTATGACTATTAAGCTTTTTTAGATACTAAGATTAACTGGGTTTCGATGAATTTCCTACCATAAAATTGTTGGGGAGACTTTCATTTCTCATGAAAGTGTATGAAGAAGAGATTCGAATGTCGATCTCACTAGAAAAGGACTGCTGAATCCCATTGTACTGCAGCCGTTTGTTTGGCTTTAATACGACTTTCAGGTTGGCGCATTCCACGAGACATCTCTCGTTTCGAGTGAAAACTGACTAAACCTTCGCCCATCATATGATGGGCATCATATGAGCTGGAACTCTTTCTTGTAGAAATCTCACGTTAACACTTGGTCAAGAAGAAGTTCTGATGATGTCCATCATATGATGGGCGAAAGTGCAGCCCGTTTTCACCCGAAACGAAGGAGGAGGTCTCGTGGACTGCGTCAACCTGACCGTTGTATTAAAGCCAAACGGCTTCCGTACAACTGGATTAAGCTCTCCTTTTCTCGTTAGATCGAACTTCAAATCTTCTTCATGCACTTTCATACGAAATGAAAGAATCCACAATATTTCTTATCCTTTTCTGACCTTTAATCGTCTTAATTTGCATTATGCAGTGATAAAATAATAGCTAAATTTTCCCACAGAATTGTGAATAGGCCTCACCTAACTATGCATTCCAAAAGGAATTATCATCCAGAGTGGACTTCAGTTTCGCCCCTGCCTTGGTAACTCTACCATTTCCAACGAAAATCTGACTTTTAGGGGCACAACATTCAGTACAATATAATAGCATTGTAAAGCCTACTCATATCATTTTGGCTAACTTTACTCAACCTTTCAACACCTTCGACCTAGGGGGATCAGAGCTCTTATACAAAATCTACTTATAGTTTCGAAATCAACTAATTCTGAACACCTGTCTTTTTTTGCACGCATTACGTTTATAGTTTTTTTCACATCCATTGCTTGCTACTTCCTCTGTTTCGTTTTCTATTTTGTTTTAGTAATTATGATATTTATGTAGCGTCAAGAAAGTATTGCTAAATTTTATCCTTCCTTTTGGCTCTTGTGCATTTCTTCATTTTTCCTTTTTTATTAATTGCATTTACACTTAAATGGCATGTTTCGCCTCTTCATTATGTATCTAAATGTACAAATATTGTCTATGCCTTGAACAAGGTGTCAATGAAGTGATCTTTAGTTAGTTCTTGGCTAAGCACTTTTAATGGACTATTCTATTCACATGAGTGAAGACCAGATATACTTTATAATAGCAAATGTTCCGTGCCATATATATATATATATACATGCAATCTCACTATCGGAATTACCTTTATTTAGATTCACTCGCATACCTTGTTATCATATCGTTATTGTTTCTTTGCATTGCTTATCATGATTAAATTTGCTAAATATTTTTCAAAAGCCTATTTTTTTATTGTTATAATGATGTCATTTTGTTGAATTTTGCGTAGAATTTGTGGCGATTATATGCTCTTCTCAAAAAAATTGGTGATTTATATAAATATATTTCGGAGCTTCTCCTTATCGTCTTAATGACCAATATTTTATCAAACAGACACATTTTTTGCGTATTCAGACGATCTGAAGCTAAACTGAGGATCTCGAAGAACGTAGTAGTCTATCATTATATTCGAAGGTATGAAGACCAGAATGGTGTGGCCTTTTGTATGCTCACGGTCTCCTTTTTTGTATAGAAGTTATTTGACCTTGGTTTCATAACTTGGTCATACTAGCAGGAAGACCCAGAGGAACGCACCTTGTCCTGAGTCCATAGTATGCATGATCATTTCCAGGATCGGAACATGGACTTGGTACATTCCAAGACGTTTCGCAGGCATCGTAGTCGGCATCATCAGTGAGTCTTGCCATTCTCAGCAACCAAGCTACAACTCGTCAAAGAGACAAGTGTAGCCGACCCTTTGACCAATTGTCTGCTAAACAATTGTGGTATCTCTCCTTCTGTCTATGGGCTATTCACCAATCCTATATCCCCGTATCACCTCTTTGACGAGTTGTATCTTAGTTGCTGAGAATGGCAAAACTCACTGATGATGCCGACTACGATCTTGGTGAAACGTCTGGGAAGGTACTAAGTCCACGGTCCGACTCTGGAAATGATCATGCATGCTATGGACTCTGGACAAGGTGCGTTGCTCTAGATCTTCCTGCTAATATGACCAAGTTGTGAAAACAAGGTCAAAAAACTTTTATCATTACAGTTCATCTTTTTATTCGTTTGAGGGAATTAGAGAAAAATAAAGTCTCTTGTTTACCCTAATAAATTAGAGTATTTAATATTTATGAGTCAAATCACTCTATGTAAGGCAAAGTGATTTATATGAATACCTGTCAAATGTTACAAATAATAACGGAAACTTGCATTATAATTCTTTTCCATTGTTACTATTATCGGTTGAAATCAGGCTTGAAAATAATCTACAAAGTTTGGTGAAAATTCCATAGTTTACTATAAATTAAAAAAAATTTTAAATAGATCCCGGTCTCGAACTTTTTTCTTCATCGACAACAGACAATAATAAAATGATTATTATGTATAAAAGCGGTAATTATAGTTAATCTTTTGTACTGAGACCCAAGCAATATGACTTAAAATTTATACCATAACCCCATATAGAGAGCTCCCAGGGAAACAACAATATTTGATGCATCTGTTTTGGACATAGACTAAGCTTATTTTTTTTTAATGAAGGAATTAACTACTTGTAATTTGTTGATTCTATTTAGTGCACTTTTATGTTTCACTCAGACATTCTTTCTGGTATTCTAACTTAAACATAAATGCTGCTGTAAAACTCAGTGGTAATCAACCCCTCTCATTTAGTCTTTTTTAAAATGAATTATCCATTACTATTTTACCAATCAATTTTTGGTGTTCCTTCACTACTCAATAAGATTGATTCACATTTTGTGCTTCAAATATTTATTATTTTGCACTTTGGGCTCGTTCTCAGAAGCCTTATTGCAACTTCCTTTAAGCCCAGTTTACAAGCATGAAGAAGCTCTGGATCATTTACAAGGTCAAAGATTCATTTCCTTATTATTAAGTGGTAAATTTGATCATTTTTTTCTGATATTTGCCTCTATATTTTTTTGTTTACTTCATATTTCGTTCTTAAATAGTAAAATGCCTACATTTCTAGTCTCTTCATACTTTTAGGCCCAATAACACCTGTTGGTTATAGGCTTTACCTCACTGTAGTTCTTACTTTTGTACAGTCTCAGATTAATTATTCGTTTACTACTCTTCACTCTTATTCACCATTCCTTCTCAAAGTATAATCTTTCTGTATTACTTCCTTTTTTGCTTGGCGTCTTACTAAGTTTTTTATTGCACGCAAATCTGAATTATTTTCTGTTTTCTCTAGTTGTCAAAATGTTACGCTAACCTTTTTCCTGCATGTTGCCTCTCTGCTTGAAGCTCTACAAGTAATGACTTAATATCGAGTCTATACTTGCAATTATCATATGATATCTGACATGGCTGATATTTTTTCATCTCTTTTGAATTGAGAATTTATCTTTGAGGCTATTCTTTCTTTATATAATTTCGACCTTTTTTTATGGGCCTTACTAAACAAATTTGGGATTTTACTACCCTATATTATTGGTAAAGTTTATCATAGGTATATTTTACTGCTTTTAGATGTAACTTCCATTTTAATATTGAAACATTTTCACTAATTTACTTTTAGGAAATAACATCTTTATTTTGACTCGACTTTCCATTTTAAAGGAAAAGTTGTATCGAG